CATTAAATAAAACATAGAGTGTTAAATAATATGAATGGTTAAAGTTTACTGAACACTTGGAAATAGTTATTTGTGCAACTAGTGAGAAAAGTGAGCGATTGACTCACTCGAGAGAAATCCTTACGAGGAATGGTTTCTCGAGTGAGGCAAATTGTACATTGAACTCGAGTTGCACATTATACTTTTCCTACAGTTACCATAAAACAAATAAATTGGTGAAGAAACATAACCTATTTTTACACTGAAGTGAACTTTTAATATAACATTTAATGTGAAGTGACAAATACAACAGTACAACAGCTGACCAGCTGATTTACAGCCAGGGCTGCCAACATGTATTTCGCGCGCATACGACGTTGCCTGCATGTTACGCGCTCACTATTTCGTGCCTTCACGTTACAAATCTGGAGTGAGACAAAGTAATTAGAGTGAGACAATGTTAACATTGTCTCACTGATGAGCGAATTGGCCACTTTGCTTTCTCAAATCAGTGAGAACATGTACATTGTTAGGTAACTGTAGGAAAATATTATAATTGTTTAGTGCTATGTTGGTGTTCACCAACAAAGTGATGATCTAGGGACATCGCTCACACTTGCTGCGGAAGCTGGACATGCTTTACTGTTAGAAAATAATAAATTAAAGCAAGAACTACATGATATGAAGCAAAAATTCTCTTCCTTAAAATGCCAAGACTTCTGAGACGATAACTTTGCTGAGGTGAACCTTGCTGAGGCAAAAATTTAAGAGCTTGAAAATGACAAGGAAATCCTGCTCTCCCGAAATGCTTCACTGGTTGAAACACTAAATGAAGTAGAACTCCAACTAGAGAAGGAAAGACAGCTAAGAATTGAAATGATACAAACCTTTGAAGATCAAGATAATGAAAGAGAAAAACTATTACTCGACTCAGCAAATGAAATTAAGCAATTAGGTGGAATGATAAACAAGCTGAAGCTAAACCAAGATGACAAAACAGACCTACCTCAGACACCAAAACCTACTGGCACTTCAGAAACACAAACAAATCACTCCGATTTTTATGTTCCCAACTACTGTGCCTCTCTAATTACTGACCTGGCTCAGCTGAAAACTCGACAAGACCAACTAGAACACTCTGTGGAAACTTTGCAAAAAGAACTGCACAAACAAGGTGAACAAATAAACCCTGCTACACCATCATCAGTCACACAAAGTACACCCACTAAAGAGATTTTTCCTCGTTCTAAAAACCACAACCTAAGCAAGAGCAAAAAACCAATTGGGAAGGAAAGAAACCATTTCAGAGTATCTCTCCAAGTAGCCAAAAACAAATCTCGGCTTGAAGAACCTGCCAATGTAGAAATAGGCTTACAGGTAGATGGTGTAAAACAGAATTGCGATGCTGACATCTTGACACAAGAAACTACAAGGAGAGAAAGCCAAACTCCTTTCAAAAAACTGAACCCGGATATGACCAGGAGAAACAACCAAACTCCTTCTAAAAAACTGACTCAAAAAGAGAGGCTTCCACCTATGACAGCAAGCATACGAGGCGACCAGGAAACTTTGGATGACTTTTTCATTAAGCATATAGATTACTTCAAAGACATAAATATCCAACACAAGGAAAGATTATCAGCCTCGATTAGTCACTCTAAAACCCCAGCCTCTAGAAGTACCTTGATCCACCCCAAGTAGATAGCAGCAACCCAAGTACAGAAACCAGCAACACCCAAACCTCTTTTTTAGGACCCTCCACCGGCAACAACATAACAAAATCTAAAAACAGTGTTGACAACCAATCAAAACACCCACTAGTTCACAGACACCAACTCACCCTTGCCCACCAAAATATAGACCGGCTGTCTAATAAAACAGAAAGACTATCACACTTCCTTAATAATGAACAACCAGACTTCATAGTTATTACAGAGCATGGTCTCTCCCGAGAAAACTTAGAAAACACACATCTAGCTGGGCTACACCCTAAATGGAGGCTACACAAGAAGAAATCAATTCTTTATGTAAAAAATAATGAATCAAAATTAGAGCAACAACAGGATATCCACAGTTACAATACTAGATATAAACAAAATTTCACAATTAAAAATCATAAAAAAAATATATAAGCAAAGTCCTCAGTATATTGGCATTAAATTTATCCATCAACTCCTAGATGGCATAAGGAATGAGCAAAGCATAATTAAATTTTAAAAGAAACTGAACAAATTTTTAATAGGAATTTCTTTTTACAGTCTGGATAATTTTTTTAACTTTAAGAAATGTATTTATTTTATCTAAAAACTGCTGTTATATAAATCTTTTAACTTTAAGTAATATACAGGGTGATTGATATAAGTGTGCCAGCCGTTTTATTCGAAAACTATAAGAGATATCAAAAAAAGTTAAATGGTAAGTGCCTTGGATTTTTTATTAAAAAAATTATAGTCGAGTCAAAAAAATTATTTTAGCCGCCATTTTTCCAATATGGCCACCAACTTTGATTTTTCTTATAGAACACCCTGTATTTTTTTATGTATTCTGGTAGAAAAAGTAATTTTAAGACGATTTTATACTTGTGATTTTTTTTATAAACCTAACCGTTTCAAAGATAATAATGGTTTAAGTTGTGAAATTTTGAATGGTTTTCGAGCAAAACAGCTGGCATGCTTGCTTAGGCCTTTATCGAACCTCTTTCTCATGCAGAAATTTCAAAACTTTAACCATTATTATCTTTAAAACGGTTAGGTTTATGAAAAAAATCACAAGAATAAAATCGTCTTAAAATTACTTTTTCTACCAGAATACATAAAAAAATACAGGGTGTTCCATAAGAAAAATCAAAGTTGGCGGCCATATTGGAAAAATGGCGGCTAAACAAATTTTTTTTTTTTTAAATAAAAAATCCAAGACACTTACCATTTAACTTTTTTTGATATCTCTTATAGTTTTCGAATAAAACGGCTGGCACACTTATATCAATCACCCTGTATTTATGTTATTTAAAAATAACATAATGACGCATTCATGTACGATGTATCTGTACGTTCTGAATAAAGATTTTATTGATTGATTGATTAGTAAAGAATGTTCTATTGAAACTTTGAAAACAATCTACTACTCATTTTCTATTCCAATTTAACATACTGTATTGAAATATGGGGATACACTACCAAAACAAACATAAATAAAATTCTAGTCGCTCAACAGAAAGCTTTGAGGTGTATAGCGGGACTGAGCTTTAGGGAATCTTGTAAGGACTTTTTAAAAAATCTTGAGATTCTTACCTTTCCTTGCATAATCATTTACAGAGTTTTAATATATTTCAAAGCTGATATCTTTAAAACAACAGATGAGCAATTTCACTCATATGACACTAGAGGTAAAAGTAACACCCATTAAACATCCATTACTATTTATTTATTAGTTTATTATTATTAATTATTTATAAAATTTAAAAATTAAATTATCACTTACGTTAACATGAACTAGTGTACATGTTGCTCGAATTCGAGCAATTGCAAAGTATAACAGGAGTTATTTAAAAACGAATAACAGTCACATTAACAATGAGTTTAAAAGAGTCAACTCATTGATAGAGGGCCAATTGAGAACAAAAAGTCGTTTTGGGGTAGGGCGCATTTGTAACCTAATAGTTGAGATTGTCCAGGGTCAGGTGCTGACTGTGATGAGTTAAGCCTATTACGCGCCACTGTTCTGTAACTGAGGTCGTTATCACGATCACGCCTCCTGACTATGTTTCGTTGTCGTCACATCGGAGTCATTTAAAAGAAAAAAAACAACAAATAAACAAATTATAGCTACACAAAACAACGATAAACACACAAATTTAAGATACAACCATACTAACACGATCCGTCTTGGGGGTTATGTTTACACAAACTCAAATAGTAAATAAATGTACTCAATGGGTTTCATTGAATTGAAAAATAAATAACAGCAATTCAATTATACAGCTGATCAAAATGTAAACAATTATGTTCTTCATAAGGATAACATGGGAACTTTCAAAGCCACTGGGGCAGAGCCCAAGGGACATTTTCAAAAATGTAAGGCCAGTTTGCAAATCTACGCGACACGCTCTTTCCAATGAGACGTCAATGGATAAAATCGGTTAAGAAATGGCAGAGGAGTTCAACCGACAAAGATTCATGTAGCTTATTAATTATATAGATACTATTACAATGTTTATTATGACATTTATCATTGTTAATTGTTTTAAAATACGTTTTGAACTAGGTTTCCTCAGAATGTTAAAAAAACCACAAAAAATTTTGAAAAACCTTGCGCTAGGCTATTAGGGAGCGTAATTAAACCATGTGCCACTGATCGCATCAAAAACCGCGGCACGCCAACTTATGCCGCGGTTAAGGGGTTAAGAAACATGAAACTAGAGGAAAAAAGAGATATTTCTCTGTTCAAAACAGAAAACTGTAACAGATTATTTTCAAAGAAATTAATTCACGATAGTTCCCTTTTATTTACTCGTGTAATTGTGTTCAAAAACGTGTGTTATTCATTGTGATTCCTGTCAAACACAACATTCTGTGATTACTGTCTAAATATGCCAATACCATAATTAAATACCCCCACCGTAGCAAACCTGCAGACTAAGCGAATTTCCATTTGCCTGATTGGATTTACACTAAAATGTCTCCTTAAAAATATCATATTTATTCCCTATTTAAATAACATTAGTTTAACGAGTACTTAGGTTTGTTGCAACAGGGAGGGTAAAAAGGTGTTTTTTTGTAAAATGTTAATGGTTTAATATGAAATTAATGCATTTCCCAAATTTGATCAAAATATGATCATAAACAAGCAAACTACAACAGTTTACTTATTCTCCATAAGAATAACATGGGAATATCCAATAGTATTTTGCGTATTAATAGTGATTTTATGTATCCGGAAAGCCCCAACCCTACTTTATCCTGATTAATCGTTATTCAAAAGTAATTTGCAAGATGTATAGTGAGAATGTTGTGTGTTTGCAGAATGTAGTTGGTGTGACTTGTCTGGGCTCTGCGCACCCTCTGTTGGCCAGACGCAAGTTTGATCTGTGTATTGTAGATGAAGCTACTCAGGTACTTCTACCCACTGTGCTGAGACCTTTGTATTCTGCTCACAAGTTTATCTTGATTGGAGATCCCAATCAGCTCCCTCCGCTGGTTAGAAGCTCAAAAGCCAAGTATGTCAACTAGTATTCATAAATTATTACTTTGATCTAAAACTAAATTGTACAAAGCAAATTATGGTTTATGATAGGGGTCTGCGGTACAGAATATTTAAGGTCGGTATGGTACAATATTTTGTACCTCGGTTCTCGGTACAAAATCGGTACGGTGCGCGGCTACCAGTAATTTTGCAGTTTTCTCCTCAGATTGAAACCATTATTTTAAATTTGAATACATTGACATTACTATGAAAATGGATAATATCCTACACTCATGCATGGTTTTCTAACAACAATTAATTTATTACTCCCCCATACATTATTAAAAGTTTGACTTCTAACAGGATTGTGTCAAGAAATCAACAAAGTTAAGATAAAGGCTTCACCTATTTTCCTACTAAGTTAAGTACTTGCATTGATAATTGGGGTCTGCGGGTCAGACTTTTTTTGGTCAGACATTTTTTGGTTCGGGTTGGGTCAAGCCAAATATTGTTTATTAATGGATTTTTTTGTTTGAACTTCTATCTGTGTTTATAATATTACTTGATGATAAAATACCAAAAAAAATTATATTTATGTATATAATTTCATTTTCATATCCTATTTACAGCTTGAGAATTGCCTCAACTGCAAGATAGAATAAAATACATTTTTTTTTATCAAGACATTCTTTCCCATTTTTATAACTGTTCAAATAACTAAATAGCTAAATTACAACAAGTTTTGAATGGAACTTAATATAAAAAGATCATAAACAAATTAAGTAACATGTCACAATTTTAGGGCCTGTTGACTGCCTTTAAAACTGCAAGAAAGAAGAAAATAAAAATTCTATGTTTCCTCAATGCAATATGTATCATTCATTCCTTCCCTCCTAACCTCTTAAAGTACAAAACCTCACACTTGCAATAGCATTATTAGTTATAGCATCATAAATGCACAATTTATCTATTATTGGCATTAGTAGGCCTACAGTTTCACATAAGAATTATTTTTATAGGGCCTAAAATAGTAATAGTCTAAGCAACATGACAAGTGGAGAACTCATTGAAGAAAAGATGTTGTGTAAACTGATTTACTATAAAACCAATGATAAACTCTAAAATAGTAACTGACACACATAATGTTTATGGTATGGTTAGTAAAGACTGTACAAATTGCATATCATGTCATACAGTAGCATAGATAGACATACAGCAAAAGATTGAAATCTAAAAACAACTGATTTTGATAACTAATAAATTAAAAAAATTAAAAATCCACAAACTCAAGTCAAGATATTGTTTATATCACAATTAATTAGGTACCCTAAAAGGAACTCTTAACTAATTAATACATAGAAGATTATATTAAGTCAAGAGAAAAGAAAATTAAATGCCAACTTGGCAACATAATGCAGAGACACTAGTGCCTTAATTTAGCAACACAAGTATAAATATTTTAAAATGTAAGGCAATGGTTTTGAAACTGCAGGTTCTTTTTCTCAGAAGGAATGGTAGTGGGATGTAAACAAACCATAAATCACTCTCACCAGCCAGGCAGGGGGCACTCAAGGTCATAGACTCTCCCCATCCCCTCTTGCACCACACGTTTGCTCCAATTGCTAACAAAATTGTGTAACGAAAACAAAGAAGTAGTGGACAAAAAGATATATTTCTTTATTGAAAGACATAAAACTCTTACAGATTATTTTCAAAGAAACTAATTCATGGTAGTTTTGTGTCTTGTAAATATTTTATTAGAAAAAAGTCATTTTATCGTTGTAAAATATGAAAATACTGACTAGAGTCATCTCTAATAAAATTAACAGCCATTATAAAAACATTTATTTTTATGATAAAATAGAAAAGGATTAAAGTGATAAACCTCAGAGTTCTTGGAAGTACTTGAGTACAACAATTATTGTTGTGATAAAATATTAATGGATTTGGGACTGCTAATGGTTTTTTTATTGCATCACTACCATAGTAATAAATTATGAAGATTGTAAACAAACATCTGATAAGCCTTTTATGTGCTCGATAGTAAACTGAAAGTAGTTTATTAATAGGTTGTACCAAACCGAGTTTGTAGCGTAAAATGCTCTACCGAACTGATGTCGGGTAATTAAGCTTGAACCAAGCTAGAACCGAACTGTACCGACTTTTTCGGTGCACCACAGACCCCTAGTTTATGAACATACTTTCCTTCCAGAGACTTTGGCCTTGGAGAGAGCTTATTTGCTCGCCTAGACCGACTGGCAGTGACGACTGAGCTATGTCTGCAGTATCGCATGAACCAAACAATCACAGACTTGGCCAACTGTCTCACATACAGTGGTAAACTCAAGTGCGGGAATACACAAGTGGCTGCTGCTACAATCTCTCTCCCTCCATCAGCATTGGTGAGTAAAATGCACTTTGTGAAATTTAGAAGATCGTAGTTTCATCACCTTATAAAAAGGAATACAAGCATTGAAATTCCATTTATTTAAAAGGCTGTATGAGCATAAACTTTCAAATGTGTAGTGATACCGCCAACACTGAAGTACTGTTTCTAAATAATCTGTAGCATCTCACTCAATTGCCATATTCCCAACTACATTTGGCCAATCCTTGTAGTCCAGTCATTGAGTAATGGAAGTTAAACAAAATTGTTTCAAAAGAATGGGTTTTATTACTTTTATACCTCCACACAACACAAAAAAAGTCTACCAAAATCTGACTTGGGGAAGTAGCAGATATTAGGGTATTTAAATTAAAATAATAATTGCTCCCAGAAAAAAATTTTTAAAACCACAATTGCTAGATATAAGGTGTAGTATATAGTTTTTAATGTCTACAAGGGTGGGGAAACTGCTGCAACTTAAAATGTGATTTAACCTCATTTGACCCCACAAAATGACTGCCAAAATACGATTCATGGAGAAAAAACTAAAATAAAACTTACCTTTAGCTACAGGGTGTAGTATATCAAATTCAATGTTAACAAGGGTGGCAAAACCAAAAAGGCAACTTAAAATATGATTGTATCTAATTTAAGATGATAAGATGTAAGTCACCAAAATATGCTCCATGGAGGGAAAAGAAAAAAAAAACTTACCTTTAGAAATAGGTTGTAGTATAAGTATGTCGATTTTAACTTTTACAAAGGCCAGTAAAATAAATATGCAACTTAAGATAAGATTTTACATCATGAGATGGTGGCGTAAGATGGGATACTGGGGCACATGGATTATTTTTACATAGGATATTGGTCAGTATTCGACATGTCCAGTCACCTGTTTCCAGACATGCACTTTGTCGAGCAGTTTTGTGATAGCACGGCCTCACATGATTGGTCAGATTTTCAAATATCGAAGAGTGAGAGAGACGCTATGATATTTGTAACGACTAAATCCAGTTCCGCTTATGTCTTCACCGTAGTAACTCCCGTGTACTCGCGGTTAATATTACATTACGCATCTCTTGAACGTGGTCTCTTTACCAGTGTTTTATAACATACCTTCGTTCCCGCTTTATTCAGCGTCCGTCTGACAAAGTGTTTTTTTTTCATCCAGTTCACCGCATTATTCTCAATTTAAATCAAATCAATCAATCAATCAATCAAATCATTTATTATCATGGACATTTACATGCATTGACATTGTCAGTGGAGCAGAACATAAAATTTCAATGATCATTGTCTAAATAATCAGAGGTGATATTAATACAAACAGCCTCCCGCACCCTCTAAACTCACAGAGGAAGATATTAAATGTGAACAACATTTTTCTGAAACTTACTGCCGCAACCCTGAGACAGGAAAATATTCTATCAAACTTCCGTTCAAGGAAAATCCCGCATAGTTAAGGAAATCATCTTTCAATGCTAAAAGGCGTTTTTTTATCGCTTGAGCGTAAACTTAATACTCAACCTGAGTCTAAGCAATTGTATTCTGATTTTATGATCGATTATAAGAGTACAGGCACAGATAATATAACCCCTACTACAGATATCTAGCTGAGGCCGCTAGGCCGCTGCGGCTGAGGGACGTGCGGGGAGGGAGGAAATAGTTAAATTTTTACTCGCAAGGTGTTGTGAGCGTCCTCGGTGCGGTGCAGCGCTGTGTCGTTGCCGTAGCCGTAGCTCGGCCGTAGCTTACGTTGTCAGATGTGTTGTCACGTCACTCTACTACCGCGTCAGTGCTGGAGAATATCGGTACAAAAATCTAGCTTGCTCTTGCTGATAACAAGACGATAACTGAATAGAGATATTGTGTTCACTAATCTCTCTACATGACACTTTATTATGTCCTAAGTTTTGGAATATTGATATACAACTTGTTCAATCTTGATTCGAAATATAAAATAGTTGTTGTACGCAAACCTTTTGAGTTCATTATTTATTTTAAGTTTTCATGTTTTTATTTTGATATAACATACATAAAGTTCTAATTTTTAAAGCTACTAACTATCAGTTACCCGGCGTGGAGGAATATATGTAGTTGGAGAAATATATAGGTTTTTAGGCGTAAATAACCACCACGTGAGCACGCAAAATACAGATATCCGTGTATAAAAAAAGCAAGACGCTTTTTATAACAGCAATACGCAAATATACGTACAGTATATTCTCCTTTAAACTTACCACTGATGATCGTTGCTTAAATCAAGTTTGGTGTTATTTTTGTAATTGACAGTCTTAATTTTTCCATTACACAACTTGGGTGGATTTAGGTTTCGCATTATTATTATTATTATTATTATTGTTATTCACTTAATAATTTATGTGATTGATTACATTATCTTTGAATAGACTGACCGTCATTCGTTTTGAAAAAATGCCGGTTATACTTTACAAATGCTCGAATTCGAGCAACAGGTGTACTATCTGTTTATAATAATTTAATGGTTTTTACTTTTTATGTTTACATATTTAATATTTGGAGAATTTAAACGTTGTTGAGTGCACAGGTGTGCTGCGATCGGGGTTTTATATATTTGGACTTATCCAAGATAAAAATAGTTTTCTGTGCTGCTTTCTATGGGAACAGTGTGGCACTATTTTAAATCATGACCATTACAGAATATTGTGATTTTTCAAACCTACAAAACAGTTTGTGAAAGTAAACATCTGCTTTTAATGATAGGTATTTATTTGTAAACATTGTAGTTCCAAAAGTCTGACCTTGGACACTTTAAAACCCTCTGGGGCGGAGCCCTTTTGACGTATCTGCACCAAACTTCACACATACCATCCTTAAATAATGCTTAATAATGCCAGAAAGTATCATTACAAGCTGTCAAGCGATTTCAGAGTCCATTGGGTACATACATGCATACATACTTTGCCAAGAAATTGTAATTTTTTAAAGGTTATAGAAGTAGAGTTTTAAAGATGAATAAAGTATGGACTGTTGCTTAGAAATGTTGCAAGAAACCCATTTATTTTTGTTCAACACAACATTTCTTTAATCTAGCAATAGAAGGTTTAAACGAAATTGTGTAATACAATGGTGATACTGTACACGTATAGTTAAGCAATTATTTTTTTTATCAAACAATTAAAGTATACACGTATAGATTTTAAGTAAACTTTGAAATATAAATTTAGGCCGTAAGTCTCAGTTACTTAACAATAAAAACCCTCATAAGCTATTTAAGCAAAACTTTGGAACTTTTTTTAACAAAGTCGTATTAAACCCAATTACAATGGAAAAACACTATCACTGATGTTATACAGTAGGCTAATGCTAAAACAATATCATTAGGCGCAAAACTATGAAGATTATGCAATGTAATAAAGGCAGAACTGTCAAAACATGTTTTTAAAATAGAAACTACAAACAAAGAATGAAAAAATTGCACTTTACAGTAGGCCTACATTAAATAGGATTGCATACACGTTTAAAGATTACAATTAATTGTCATTTTTTTTTTAAATCAGGCCAAAGATTACGATAAAGATTCCTTGAACTGTAACTGGTAAATTATAAATAACAAACATAAACATATACAGTGAATAGGCACACATATTTGAAATGATTTATCATTACAAAATAATAACCTTATATACACCATTATACAGGGTATCCTTTTTACAAGTGTCATGAACATAAATATGTACGTAGGGACAAATATTTTTTATTGTTTAATTTCCTTCTCAACTCAACGAAGGAACTACAATCGAAAGAAATAAATAAAAACATATAATCAACTTAAACAATTTTCACCAATAGTTAAGAGGCGTCCTCGGAAACCTTTTCCTTTGTCAAAGTAGCACTGGCTATTTAAATTTTCTAAGACACTAAACGTGATGGAGGATACGTTTTTTTTCTCACATACCGAACTACAAACACAACACTAACACATCGACGCTCGCTGGTCTGAAACAGTTCATACTCAATGTCAGTTGACAATCAATGTCAACTAAACTCTCTTGTAAAATGGCGTTTGCCGTGCATGTAATAAATAAATAAATAAATATAATAAATAAATAAAAATACTTCATTCTACTCGTAATCAGTGGTTCAGGACACGAATTGTGGTTGCGGCGCTGTTTCTTTGCGTGTTACTAGCAATATTATTTTCGTAAATGATTTCGTTATCAAACAAACTATTTATCTTTGAAAATACGTACAGTACTGTATTCAATTATTTTATTTACCACATATATCTAGGCCTTAGTACTTTGAACTTGAGGTTAAGCATTTTAATTTCCTAATGGTGTCAATTGAAGCATTTAATATCACAATACTACATTTCACACCATAAGGCAACTAATTAAGTAAAAAAGCGCCAAAACTACTAGAAACGTATTCTGCGCATGCGCAGGCCCAAGAGACAAGAGACATGTCTGAAAAAACATGGCAATCGGTTTAATAGTTTTGGAGGTTTGATTGTCAGAAAAAACCTGCTTGCGTATTAAATAAGTACTAAGTACTAGGGTCCCTGTTGCTCGAATTCGAGCAATTGCTAAGAAGTATTACATGTGTTATTTTTAAACTAATAATAGTCATAATTTCTTATGACTTTAAAAAGATTATTTGTAGCAAACTGTTAAAAAAATTAGCAAACTTATTGACGGTTCACAATTCACAAAACCTGCTTAAGTATTAAATAAGTATAGATAGATTTAGATATAGATATATAAATAGATTAGCATAATTCCGTTGGAAAATAGAATTTAAAAAAACTTTTGCAAAACCAAAACTAACAGCTCTTTCCTCACTTCAGTTGTTCATTTTTAATAACTTCAAATGGTTTCCCAGCAACAAATACAATTAACTCGCCTGAATTTTTAATCCATAGTTGTGATAACATACTATCTCGAGGACAACGAAACATTTTAAGACCTTTTAACTTTGCCGAACTGTTAGAACAGTTTCTGTACGAGCACGTTGTTCTTGACATAACGAATAGAA